AAAACGAAAAGTACTGCTCTGATACCACTTGTTGGAATGTATGAGTCCACTAGTCTAGATGGGATCAGGTCCTCAACACAGTTACAATAACAGAAAATAAACAAAGTGCTGAAAGTAAAGATTGCACAACAACTTTACGTGGAAACCTCCTTGCTCAAGGGAGTAAAACCACGACCTGGCCTGCCAGGACTTTTCAAACTTCTTTCACTAATCTTCTCCAAGCAAAAGTAAAAGCAAGTTTACAAACCGAGATTAGACTACTAATCCCAACTCTAAGCAATACCTCCTATTACTTAGATGAGCCAGAACAGATACAACACTGCCCACTAAGCTATCACCCTTAGATAACTTAGACTTTGCTAAGCGGATACAACACCGCCCACTATACTAATCCTAACCGATTAATATAGATTTTTAGAGTAAGAACCTAAGTTACCTTTAACCTAGTTCTTACAATGATTCAAACAGATTTGAAACGTTTCTTTCACAAAATGAATCCTACAATGTAAGCACTATTACAAGCAAACAAAGTAACAGCTGGTACAAGAAGCTTTTGAAGTAATCAATCAGATTCCTTGTTGTTCTTGAAGCTCTTGAAGTAATTGATCAGATCCCTTGATGTTCTTGAAGCTTTAAATATTTCTCTCTTTGAATGAATGAGTAATATTGTTGTATTTTGTTTAGTATATACCATAAAAAGTTATTACCAAACGTACAAGCAACCTCCTAGCTTCTGATTGGTGAAGTACTCTGCAGCTTCTGACGCAGACAGCTTTTACAGCTGTACAGCACTTTGACACTGGACGAGCATACTCTGCAGAAGACCAGGTCCCTGCACTTGTGAGGAGATCATCAAAACACCAAAAGGCATAAGCTCTTATCAACATTCAACTAGCCAAGATGGCAACTCAAGTCTCAAAACATAAACTAATAACAAAATAGTGACAAATGATCTAACTAACTGTCTATCTATGAAGCCTCTAAAACTGGGAGGGATGTCGGGACAAGACCCCCGATCATCCTAACAACTGAAAACTACTAAAGCAATGTAAATAGGGAATCCTCCAGAAGCAAGGAGGCTCACCAACTGACTCTGAGATGCTTAACTGGATCAACAAGGCACTGGATGTTGATCCCGATTTCATGTATCTGTATCATGAAACGATGCAGGCCAAAAGGTATCAGTACATTGAATGTATGAGCATGCGAGGGGAAACTAAACATGACATAAGCTTGAAAGGAATCTAAAAAGAACACTTAAAACAGTAGGTGACAACTCAATGTGTTAAAGAAATATAATAACAACTCAGATTACATATAAAGTAATATAATATTGTGTGAGTTTCTCAAACCCACAACCATCACTATAAGCTAATGCGATGATACATCGCCTCGTCCATGCTGCCAGAACTGTCCTATAACTTTCCATGATATAGAACGCCTCAACTAAGTGGATCCACTAATCTATGCTACAAAGCATTAAGGAATCATCTAAAAAGTATGACCCTTTCTACCCACGATAACTACATGATTTATGGAGACTTTGAGTTATTATAAACGCGTTCCCATATTGGAGCTCAATACTACTCCCAAAATATACTCATCTCATATATTTTAAAAACAAAACTCTTTTTGTGATTTGAGGTAATTACTCAAAAACTAGCTTAAAAGCTCTCTTGAAAATAAGTGTTTCCTTTCTTGTTTAAATGTGAGAACGCTTTAACTCTTGGGAATACTTAGTTCCCGTATAAACTTTTGAAAAAATGAACTTTAATCTTACTCTTTACTCATCTCAAAACTCAAGCCATAAAACAAAGTCAAAACATTTGTAAAAGACTTTTGAAAAACTCTATGAACTTCTCTTAACTCGACTCTTTACTTTTCTTGAATGGAATTATGGATTCAAGGCTCATGATCTCATGGTTATGAATGATTTTATGATGTTTAGACGTACCATAGAGTGTAGAAATCAACTAGCAAACTTAGGTACGTTGCTAGAAAACTCAAACGGAAAGAAGTGGGAAAATATGGAAGACCTGGCGTCCCTGGCGCTCTGAGTGGCGCGGGGCGCCAGAGGGTAAACTTCAGACACTGGCTTGGGGTGCACTAGCTTGCGCAGCTCCCCAGAGGCCAAACTTCAGCGCCTGATGTGGGGCGCTCTGAGTGGCGCGGCGCCCCACCCCTTTTCCCAAATTTTTGATGATTTTTCTTAATCGTTTTTCAACTCTAAACCCTCTAGATTCAATTGGTTCTTTTCACAAACACTTAGATTCGACTACATAACCAAAATATGTAAAAATCTACTCAAAACAACACCTAATCTCATGAATCAAACTCAAGAAACTTCTCAACAACTTCAACAACAAGAACCCACAAGAACTTAAACAAATTTCATCAAGAACTCGTAATCTTTTCTTTCAACAATACAATTACACTGAATTGAATCATGATTGACAAGTGGGTGAACTGAACCAACGCTATGTGATCTCACATACCTCGTATGGATCAACCCTTGGCGAAATTAACAAGCTTAGCTTCAAGAACGTGACGAATCCTTGCTTCTTCTCCTCCTTTCTCCTCTTCTTTTCTCTTCTCTCTTAATTTTCTAAAGCGTAAATTGAATCACATCAGTTGAGACCCCAACTTAATTACCAAAAATGAATTTAATTGATTGGGTAGTGAAAAGACCAAAATACCCTTCAAAAAATCGGTTTTGACTTTCCTTAACTAGATAACCCAACTTTGAATGGTCATATCTCCCTCATACGAACTCAGAATTGAGCAAACTTGGCGGTGTTTGAAATATAATTCAAAGATCTTTCCTAAGGTATCTTGTAGAACACCTAACTCATCCTGAGCTAGCAGTTATTGTCATTTGAATTTGACAAAAAACGCATCTTTAGCTTAATTGTCAAACTTTCCAAATTTGATTATTTCCAAAAACGGTTTCTTCCAAATTCTAGATCTTTCAAATAGTGAGGTGTTACAATATCTCCTCCTTGGGAACATTCGTCCTCGAATGAGATTACTCTTAGTAAGCTAAGGGCATAACATCAAATATTCAGTTCAGACACCAAACAAGCAAATCTAACATATCAAGCATATCAATTAAAGAGTACTAAGAAGAGAATTAGTACCTTGATCTGGAATTTCTCCAGGCTCAAAGAGATGTGGATATCTCTTATTCATATCCTCCTCGTCTTCCCAAGTAGCTTCCTTCATAAACTGATTTATCCAAAGAACTTTGACTGATGCTACTTCCTTGGTTCTCAACTTGCAAACCTAACGGTCTAGAATCTGAACAGGGATCTCCTTATAAGACAAGTTATTCTGGATACCAATATTTTTAGTTGGTATGATAAGTGAAGGATCTCCCATGCACTTCTTCAACATCGAAATATGAAATATCGAATGAACTGTTGTTAATTCTTGTGGTAGCTCCAACTAATAAGCTACATTACCAATCCTTTTGGATATTCTCTAAGGGCCAATATATCAGGGACTGAGCTTCCCCTTCTTACCAAAGCTCATAATACCCATCATAGGTGAAACTTTCAAGTATACCCAATCATTTACTTCAAACTCTAACTCCCTTCTCCAAACATCAGTGTATGATTTTTGAGGACTCTGCGCTATTTTCAACCTCTCTTGAATAACTTTCACTTTCTCCATAGCTTGATGAACTAAGTCTCCAGCTTCACCAACCTCACACCATCCAATTGGAGATCTGCATCTTCTCCCATAAAGAGCTTCATACGGAGCCATCTGGATGCTAGAGTGGTAACTATTGTTATAAGAAAACTCAATGGGAGGTAGGTGATCATCCTAATTACCCTTGAAATCAATCACACAGGCCCTCAACATATCTTCTAAGGTCTCAATAGTGTGTTGCGCTTGACTATATGTCTGAGGATGAAAAGCAGTACACAACTTCACTTTCGAACCCAAACCTTTCTGGAAAGACTTCCAAAACTTAGTAAACTAGACACCTCTATCTGAAATAATTGAAACTGGAACTCCATGAAGTCTAACCACCTCTTGAAGATACAACATGGCATAATCCTCTGCTGAATGGGTAGTCTTTATCGGCAAAAAGTGGGCTAATTTTGTCATTCTATCAACAATCACCCAAATAGAATCATGTTGCATGCGAGACCGTGGCAACCCAGTAATGAAGTCCATATTGATCATCTCCTACTTCCATTCCAAAATCTCTATATTCTGAACCATACCACCGAACCTTTGATGCTCTACCTTAACTTGTTGGCAATTCAGACACTTAGCAACAAACTCTGCAATGCCCTTCTTCATACTACTCCACCAATAAATTTCTCTCAAGTCACGATGAATCTTTGTGGAACCCGAATGAATGGAATATCAGGAACTATGAGCTTCCTTCATGATCCTCTCTTGGAGTTCATCCAACCTTGGTGTTGCTCCCAATTGCACACGCAAGTGTACGTGGTCACGCAAGTAATATAGTGGCTTTTAAAAGAACCAGATTATCGAACACAAAAGACTTGTCAATTAACTATTTTTACTAAATTATACTGGCCTAATTATTTATTTAAGAGTGTCAAAAGAAAAGAATGCAGGAATAAAATTATAAGATTACTTACAATAGTTGGAAAATCTCAGGGCTATAGCATGTTTGGATTTCATGTATCATATTTTAGGCAAAGAATTAATTTTAGTTGTCAAGTTACTGATTTATAGGGTTAATTGTATGTTCGGGATACACACCTCTAGTCGCCTACTCCAGTTAGCTATCTAACTACAACGTTGAGTGGGGACAAAATAGACTAACTGGCGAGCACTTATATTTCATTATATTTCGTAACCAAGCAAGTTGTTTGTCCGGGAGTCACTCTTAAACACAAATCACCTCAATCAAATGGGTCGATCGAGCTCTCTATATTCTCTGGTCTAACTAATCCCTCCTCTCTCGATTTTAAGATTAGACAATATATTATCTCTAGATAGCCAGTCAAGAAATACTAAAACAAGAATATAGAAGTAACTTATAATGACAACCAAAAATTAATTCAAAAACCTTAAATATTCAACATTCGATTCGTAGCTACAGCCCCAGAACAAGGGCTTTAGCTACTAATCTCTAAGAAAATAAGAAGAAGAAGAAGAAAAGAATTCTAAAAAGTATTGACAACTTTATACTTTGATAGCCTGGTCTTCACCTCTGCCTAATCTCCAAAATAATTATTTTTATGGACTATTCATAGATGTAGAAACCCCAAATAAAATAACTGAGTCCAAAATAAATTGGAAACCAAATCCAAGCGGAATTAGAATTTCTATTTCACGCAGGACAGTAACCGCCTCACAAATCTGCCGCTAATGTTGCATTTAACTGCTGCCACATGGTAGCAAGGATTCTTGGATTTTCGCTATTTGTTACAACTAACTGCAATTAATATATTTATATATTATAATATTGAATTTAATCTATTAAGTTGTATGCTTGATTTCCTTCTTCAATCTTCCATCTTTTGTTCGTTTTAGCTCTAAACTTCTTCATTTTTCCATCAATTTAATCCTACAAAAAAAATACCATTAAGCACAATCCATAAATTTCATGCTCAAAAAGGACAAAATAAATAATAAATGTGAGGCATATAATGATTAAAAATATGTATTTTTGACCTCACATCACTTGCTACACACAACCTACCTTGATACCTCAATACGCCATCTCCCCCTTGTTCAAAAGCCATTACTTTTCCTTATGAACATTTGTCTTCAATTCAAGCAAAATAGGATCTTAGACTTGCTTTTCTTTCACTTCTAACACTAATGAAGATTCAGCCCCATCCATCACAACTACTCCTCCTTCTGTGGAATCCATCAGTCGAACTTCTAATCGTGCAAGTCTATGCACATCTTTTGCTAACTCTTGATTACCTTCCTCAAAATGGGTGGTACTACCCATAGACAATCTACTCAAGGGATCAACAACAATGTTAGCCTTTCCTAGGTGATAAAGAATACTCATGTCATAATCCTTGAGTAACTCTAACCACCTAATGTGTCTGAGATTAAGCTCTTTCTGACTAAACACATACGTAAGACTCCTGTGATCGGTGAACACATCCACATGAACACCAAAGAGATAATGATGCCATATTTTCAAA